ATGTTAAATTCCAACGGCATTTGAAAGACAATACTAATTTACAACTTCCCTAAAAAACAGGGGGCTTGAAAATGTCTTTAAGTGGGAAAATAACGACTATTTGTTGTCGGATCGACTTAAGAGCTATAGAGCCAGTATTAAGTAATAGTCTGATTTTCAGACCATTGTACTGAATGGTCGTCAGTTTTATGCTGCGTAAAGATTCAATCAGTTCAATTTTGGCCATTACAAGAAGTGGGTTATTGATGTAGACAAATGCTCATGTACTCTTTACAGCTCATTTGTATGTTATTACCAAAGAAGAAAAAAGCCAGTCAGTCACTCAATAGTGTCTGACAGTGAAGTCTAGCAATTAAACGAGCTTCCTTGTTTAATTTGAATATTAGGACACTGCTAACGTTTAAATTTCACAGATAAGACATACATGACATATTCATTATTCCTGCAAAGTTCTACAGAATTTGATGTTGGCTGCAAAAGGGACATAGTATCTTTAATAATAGTAAACTTTAAAATTGATATGGGACTGAATGGGCAGCCAATGTCAATTTTTTTAAACTGGTGATATTGATCTATGTTTCTTTGTTCATGTTAGGAGTCGCGCTGCTGCTTCTTCTCTCTCTCTCTCTCTCTCTCTCTCTCTCTCTCTCTCTCTCTCTCTCTTTCTTTCTCTCTCTCTCTCTCTCTCTTTCTGAGGTTGTTGCCCCAAAAGGCAAAGGTTTGCATCCTTCATCAATGAATTTGCCACAGAGGGAAAAAAATATATGAATGAATGAATCAAAATGTAAATAAAGTTACCAATGAAGTGCCCCAGTTACAGCTCCAGAAATAGGATTCTTGAAGAGAAATTATATCAGAGACGGTGAAGAATGGTTTTGGGTAGGCCTACCGCACTGGGAGGCGAGAGGCTATCGTGGTACTGTATATCAATTAATTCCCAGGTTTAAAAACACATCGATTTTGAAGGTCCTCTTTACAGTTAAATCTTTAATTCTTATCAGTCATGAAAGCCACACTTGCCGATTAGGTTATTTTTATGTAATATATGAGCGACTAAATGAATAACAGTTTAACAATATTCAGACAAAAATTCGCACTTTCTGATAATCCCATCACAGCTATTTTTTGTTCGCCAACTTAATTTTTTCAATTAAAAAGGAAAAGAAGTAGAAAGATAAAAACAAGAAGAAGGAGAGGGAGAGAGAGAGAGAGAGAGAGAGAGAGAGAAGGGAAGAGAGAGAGAGAGAGAGAGAGAGAGAGATAGAGAGAGAGAGAGAGAGAGGGATTTTCCATGACATGTAAACTTGTTTCCATTTCTTGGTAAAGTTGTTGCCTGTGATTGGTACAGTTGTTGCCATAATGGTAAATGTGTTGCTTTTTTAAAAACCAATTTGATAAATGTATTGCCCAAAGCAAGGGAGGGAGGGAAAGGGGGGGGGGATTTTCCATGACATGTAAACTTGTTGCCAATTCTTGGTAAATTTGTTGCCTGTGATTGGTAAAGATGTTGCCAAAAGTGTTGCCCAAAGCAAGGGAGGGAGGGAGGGAGGGTGGGTGGGAGGGAGGGAGGGATTTCCAATGACATGTAAACTTGTTGCCATTTCTTGGTAAAGACGTTGCCTGTGATTGGTAAAGTTGTTGCCAAAATGGTAAATGTGTTGCTTTTTTTTAACCAATTTTGTAAATGTGTTGCCCTAAGCATGGGAGGGATGGAGGGAGGGACCCGGGAGTGAGGGAGGGAGGGAGGGGGAAGGAGGGGAAGGGAGTGGGGATATAATAAAATAATATTTGGGCCGGGGGGCACGCCCCTGTTTTTCAGTATACTTTGGGCGAATTTAGGGCTGATTTTAACTTTCCTTTTTTTTGGCCGCGGGGGGGGGGGGGGGGGCACATGCCCCCTGTGCCCCCCCCCCTGGATCCGCCACTGGTATCCGGGTGATATTCGGTAGCCCTATAAGCGCGCATATTTGAACTACCTGCATTCTATTCATCTTGATCACCCAAAACTCCATTTCCATCTTTGGCTGGCAAAATCTACGTCGCAACCTGGAGTAGATACAATTTTTCAGGTTGATCGTTTCCCATTATCACTATACGGATTTGCCCAATTTATGCTGGCATCAATATCGTATATCTACACGGCTTCTTTACAACAGATGCAATATCAAGTTCATGAATCAGACAATACTCGCTCTGGCAACGTCACGACATGACTGTCAAACGGGTTGTCTCGACTTGGACTGTCAAACCAACTCTCCAGGTATTGTACTTCCGTTGCCAGATGAATACCATTGACAGAGTCAAAGGCTCACAATGCTTGGCAGAGTTGCATGTGTCTTTCTCCCTTGGCATTGTGCTATGAAATAGTTGTTGGTGAGAGCTCACCTTGGTATTTTACTTTTTTTCTGTCATTTACGTGCGCTAAAATGGCAGGTATTTAAGCCTGTCGACAAATTCTTTCAACCCAGCTCGAGGTTGATTTAAATTGATTCTGATCAGCCCTTGAACTCTAGCTTGAAAATTATTCGACGAGGATCAGATAAAGTAAATGTAGGTTGTTGATCGGAATCCTCGAGCATACGTACTCTCTATGTTGCTATTACCTTTTTGAAATATTTACCAAACACCGTCCCTGTAACATTAAGAAAAATAATCAACGTTTACTGATTAAACTGATTTTTAATTAGTTCGTAGTAATTCTATGCAATTCAGTGTCTTCTAACGGCTAAAATCAGTGACGTTTCCAAAAATTGGTTAAAAAATAGGGACGGAATCCCTTCTATATAGAGAGGAGGTGGAGTAGACTGGAGCAGCCCAACATGGCGTAGATATACATGTAGGCCTTCTACACTTAAAACGATTTTCCCCCCTGGCCTTTCCAACGAGGGGGGGGGGGGGGGCGTACAACGGCTCCATCTTGTGCTGGATACGCCAATGAAAGAGAAAAAAACTTGGTCAGGATCCAATATTTACCCGCACCACTCAGACTTTTCAGACATCAATATTGGGCTGGGTGTCATCGTTAATTACAAGATTGCTTATGACTCAGACCCCATTCTCACTCACTCCATTGGACCGGTTTTATATATTAGCTAAATCGGTCTAACGTGAGTGTGAAGAGATACACCAGAAACCAGAAGCGTACCTCTGCATGGACCAAGACCACGCCGGGTATGTGGTCTTCTGGACCGGTTCTCTTCCACCGCTCTAAAGGGCAGAGTGGAAACAAACCCTGAAAGTGAGTGTATGTTCTCCGGAAAGTAATGAGTTTTGGAAGTAAGGCAAAGAAATATTTTCGGGAAGAGGTAGAAATTGAAGAAAGAAAATACATTAACGTACATTTAGTATCACAAGTGGAAAGGAGAAATGCGGGGAAGAAACAAGGAAAAATAGAAAGATAAAATGATAAATAATACATAGCCTAGTCATAATGAAAAGAAGAGAAGATGGAAAGAACAAAACAAAGACCAAAGGAACAGATATGAGATAATCATAATAGTAATAGAATGATAAATAATAATAATGATAACAATAATAATAAAAACGTTGCTTATCTAATATAAAGCGCTTACCGCCAAAGTCTCTAAGCGCTAAAAAAAAAAAAAAAAAAAAATCTACTCTCGCCCGATGAGGGACTTGAACCCGCGACCCTCTGATTAAAAGTCAGATGCTCTACCGACTGAGCTAACCGGGCTTCGACAAAGAAATGAAAACATAAAACAAAACACAGAACAAAGGGACAGATAAGAGATAATCATAATAGTAATAGAATGATAAATAATAATAATGATAACAATAATAATGAAAACGTTGCTTATCTAAAGCGCTTACCACCAAAGTCTCTAAGCGCTATAAAAAAAAAAAAATCTACTTTCGCCCGATGAGGGACTTGAACCCGCGACCCTCTGATTAAAAGTCAGATGCTCTACCGACTGAGCTAACCGGGCTTCGACAAGGTTATGAAAACATAGAATAACATCAGCACATACAAGTAGGGAATAATGATATTACAATAGAAGGAAACGCAAAGAATAACAATGAAATTTTGTTTCATTCTCATTTGTCTCATTCTTACTTGTTTTCTTATTTTTCGTCTTTCTCCTCCTCCTCTTCATCTTCATCATCATCATAATCTTCATCATCATCATCATCATCACCCCTTTCCTCCTCTTCATCCTCTCCTCATTTTCCTTCCTTCTTTGTCCTCGTCTTCCTCTTCTTCTTCGTCTTCTTCTTCTTCTTCCTCTCCTTCTTCTTCTTCTTCTTCTTCTTCTTCTTCTTCTTCTTCTTCTTCTTCTTCTTCTTCTAAGACTTCTTCTTCTTCTTCTTCTTCTTCTTCTTCTTCTTTTGTCTTGTTCTTATTATTCATCTTGTTGCTCTTGGTCGTCTTTCTTCATTTTTTCTCTTCTTCTTCTTCTTCTTTTCTTCATCTTCCTCCACCTATTCTCCTTCTTCTTTTTTGATCCTTCTTTCTCATCTTCTTCTTCTTTTCCTTCACACCCTCTTCCTCCTCCCTGAACAGAAGAACTGTTTCTCCAACATGAACTTTTCTCGAACTCTTTCATCACCGCTCTATTTTATCATTGTTCTATTATGTTGGCTCTTAAAAAGCATTTAACTACGATCGTGTTTCCCACCCCCCCCCCCCTTCTCTTCCTTAAACTTGGCTCCTCATCTTCAATCTACCTGTCAAATGCGATGCCTAAAACAATTGTATGCTTCAAAGAAGGAAATTAAGCTTATCAACCGATGGGTCTTCCGTGCTTACCAGTTACAACAGCCTCTAATTGAGTTTGTTGAATTAATCAATGAGTCCAATGATGCCAAGTCAGAGGAAACAGACGTCCAAACTTGTATTCTTACACCGTCTTCAATAGAACTGAAAGATCCGAACTGCCGCAAGGTGTTCCAGCCCCGCCCACTTTTTTGCTCGGGAAGTAAAGGTATAAATACGGTAGATTCTTGTTGGAATCTTCAGTGCACATTGCGATCTAAGATCAAAAGAACACCAGCTCAAGAACTGATAAAGTAGCATCTTCTTCTCAAGTTCTCTCTTCTAAATCGAAATGGCTTCATCTGGAAAATTAATCTGCCTCTTCGCTCTTATTGCAGGTAGTTTAACTTTCTGTCTTTATATATTTATATCTACTATAGTTTAATAAACTGTTGCACTTTCCCTTGATTCTAGCTGTAAGTGGCTTAATATTTAGAACTTAGAAGACGTCACAGAAAAAAATTATTTCTACAATGCTCAGGGAGTTCTGTTCCATCATGCTAATTTTTAATGCATTTTATTTGTGTTTTGTCTTTGAGAAATGCAATTCTGTGCATGGGTTATGATATCTGGTGCACGCTAAGATCTTGAATAGTTCTGCTGTACCATTTTTGTTAATAGATTATAGAAAGAAAAATACTGCTAGATATCTTTTTCACAAGGCCTTTTCACAATCCGACAAACGTCCCCTTTTTCTTGTGGCTAAATTTTGAATATACCCCCTCTGAAAATGGTTTAGTGAGGCTCTTGACTGTGCTACTGATCTATAACATAGAAGTTGAATAATCACATTTCTCATGATTTTATTTCTTTATCTCAACAGCATGCTGTCTGGTGACCGAGGCAAGGAGATCAGGAAAGACGGGGGAAGTCCGCCATGTTGTTGGAGCACCACAGAAACAAACCATGTTCGACTTCCCATTCGATCAAACCGTCGTCGGGGGCTCCGCCGCTGGAGGCTCCGTGGGGGCGTCTACCAGCGTCTTCGGCATGGATTCAGATTCAGAATCTTCCGAAGAATCCGACCTCGATATGGACACCGATATCAATGATGTCGACGCTGCTGACACACCTGCCATGGTCGGCGTTAACGGCAACCAAGTTGGCGGTAACCTTCTCCCCTTCCTCAGCGGCGGAAGAGCCGGCGGAAGAGCAGCGGCCCCTGAAGCAGGAAATGCGGACCAGCTGTTGAGCAGGACGTCGGGCGCGTCGGGTCGTGGTGTCGGCATCGCCTTCGCAGTGATGGGTCTTCTCACCGTCATCGTAGCAGCTGCAGCCTTCACCCTCAAGAAATACCGACATAGCATTCCAGTTCTTGTCCGGGTCTGATAATTGAACTTGTAATGAGGATACTCTAATGAACGATTTCCTTGTTGTCAATTAAATGCAACCGTTATCTATACTGTCGATTAGTCTCCGAATATTGATATGAATCCAATATGTTAAGAATCATGAAGTTCGAATAACTAATGCTGAGGTGTAGATTAAAAATGAATTTTCATTGTATTAACATTTTGCTGCTCAATTTTATAAATAATGATGATCTGTGAGTTTGTAATAATACATTTCTAATGAACTAATACTCCATCTTTGATATTTATATTTTTGTACTGTCATGGTATTGTATATTTTGTTCAATAAATGTTAAATGAGGCAACGTTAAATAATGCGGACATGGACTACTTATTAATTTACCTGTTATAAATCAGAACTTTGTGAGATTGTTAGAATGTGTGAATGGGCGTATGATTAGTGGATAGAAGGTGAATTGGTTTGAGATAGATGGATGAATAAGTGAATTGTATTGTATAATAAGTAATTATTTACAGGTGGATGAATGAGTAACTCTATTCTATAATTGACTAACTGGTTGTTTGTTTAATTCATGCAAGAGTTGTTGGATGAAGGAAGGAAAAATTGAAGTAATCGACTGATTGCTGAATAAATGGATCAACAAATTATTGATTTAAAATTGAGTTTAAAGTTTGACATTTTGTTGCTTCATTGTCTCCTTCTTCCTCTTCTTCTCCATCATCATCTCTTCTTCTTCTTCTTCTTCTTCTTCTCCATCATCATCTCTTCCTCTTCTTCTTCTTCTTCTTCTTCCTCTTCTCCATCATCATCTCTTCTTCTTCTTCTTCTTCCTCTTCTCCATCATCATCTCTTCTTCTTCTTCTTCTTCTTCTTCCTCTTCCTCTTCTCCATCATCATCTCTTCCTCTTCTTCTTCTTCTTCTTCTTCCTCTTCTCCATCATCATCTCTTCTTCTTCTTCTTCTTCCTCTTCTCCATCATCATCTCTTCTTCTTCTTCTTCTTCTTCTTCCTCTTCCTCTTCTCCATCATCATCTCTTCCTCTTCTTCTTCTTCTTCTTCTTCCTCTTCTCCATCATCATCTCTTCTTCTTCTTCTTCTTCCTCTTCTCCATCATCATCTCTTCCTCTTCTTCTTCTTCTTCTTCTTCCTCTTTCTCCATCATCATCTCTTCTTCTTCTTCTTCTTCTTCCTCTTCCTCTTCTCCATCATCATCTCTTCCTCTTCTTCTTCTTCTTCTTCTTCCTCTTCTCCATCATCATCTCTTCTTCTTCTTCTTCTTCTTCTCCTCTTCCTCTTCTCCATCATCCATCATCTTCCTCTTCTTCTTCTTCTTCTTCCTCTTCTCCATCATCATCTCTTCTTCTTCTTCTTCTTCTTCTTCTTCTTCCTCTTCTCCATCATCATCTCTTCTTCTTCTTCTTCTTCCTCTTCTTCTCCATCATCATCTCTTCTTCTTCTTCTTCTTCCTCTTCTCCATCATCATCTCTTCCTCTTCTTCTTCTTCTTCTTCCTCTTCTCCATCATCATCTCTTCTTCTTCTTCTTCCTCTTCTCCATCATCATCTCTTCTTCTTCTTCCTCTTCTCCATCATCTTTTCTTCTTCTTCTTCTCCCTTTCCTTTTCTTTTTCTTCTTTCTTTCTTCTTATTCTTCGTCTCTTCTAACGTTTTGTTGTTTTCCCTTCCTTTTCTTTGCTGTTGTTGTTGTTGTTGATGATCATCATCGTCATCTTCTTCTTGTTATCCTTATAATAATCTGTATAGATTGGTAATCTGAAGCAGGGGCGAATCCAAGTAGCGATTATCCCGGCCCGGCCCCCTCCCCCCCCCCCCCCCCTAGCCCCCCAAAACGATAAAAAAGTAGGTTAATAACGTAAAGTTAACCTTTATAAAACAAAAAAACAAAAGCGCCCCCCCCCCCGCTTATTCGCCGGCCGGCTGAGTCGGCACTCAATTTTGTATTCAGAATTGGCTACCCCCCCCCCCCTCGACGCCGTCTGGATCCTCTGCAGGCGCGGATCCACGGGGGGGGGGGGGGCTGACGGGTCAACAACAACAAAAAGAATTAAAAAAAATAATTCTCACGAATTAGGTGGAAAAAAAAAAAATTGTGGTCTCACTCCCCTCCCCCCCCCCCCGCTTATTCACCGGCTGACTGAGTCGGCGCAAAATATTTCCTGAAAAATTGGACAAAAAAAGTGCCTACCCCCCCCCCCCCACGGATTGGGCCCCCCCCCCCCCCCCTCTTCCCGCCGGCTGGATCCGCCACTGTAGGACCCTATACTAAACATATTGAGAACGGTCCCTCTTAAAGAGTCATCATCTATGCTCTTATACCACGACCTTTTGAAGATCAAAAAAATTTCCTACATAACTATAGCATTTTGAGCCTGCTTTCTTGATTTCGTTCTTTATACATATGTTATTAACTCATGCATTACTCGCTCCATTTATTTTCAAAGATTATAAATCCCAATAACCTTTGAGGCCAATAACTTACATGCGCTGCTTTCATTGCCCCCTCCATAATTCGATCTTCTTGCAGTATCTGTTCAAGTAACTCTCCATGCAAACAGGTAGAGACTTATTTTGTTCTTATATCTGACAACATAATTCATGTTTGTTTGTTAGTAACTTTTATTTTGTATAAACATTGTGTCAAATAGAAACATGTGAAATATGAAACAATAAACTGAAACTGAAATTAAAACCAAATGGTCGCATTTATTTCTGGATATGATTTTTTTAGTGTCGGAAACACTTGGCTGGTTGCCCAAGCCCAACCGCATTTTTACCTTACATCGTGAAATTAGCGGGAAATGTAATATCATTGCTCATGTTTTGTAATCATTTTTAACAAGAGAGGGGGAAGGAGAGAGAAAGAGGGGAGGGAGAGAGAGAGAGAGAGAGAGAGAACGTAAAACAAAGCTCTGCGTCAATGTATGATGAAATATTATTTATGAAAAACTTTCATCGTTACAGCGAACACTCTGAAATAGATCAAGTTTACGATATGTAACAGAGGGTAAACAAAATGCGTTATAAATTTTGAAGTTAAAAGTTCACATAATGTAATGACGTTTTATCGGCAATATGCTTCTAGAAGAATTCTAGCATCCAATTCAAAAGACAGGAAGTGGAAAAGAGAGGGGCGCAACGTGTGGCATTTTTGTGCAACAGCAAGAAATTCACGTATGAACTGCAAAAATGAAAACAAAAGTGCAACAATGGTGATGAGGATTACTAATTTTATTGCTATAATTATGATGAATCAGATGATGATGATGATAAAGATTATAACAATACTACTACTACTACTACTACTACTACTAATAATAATAATAATAATATAACTACTATATTACTACTACTACTACTACTACTACTACTACTACTACTACTATACTACTACTACTGACTACTACTACTACTGCTGCTGCTGATGATGAGAATAACAATAGTAACAGATGTTTGATGTTTACTCAGAATGAACTGCTGTTCTTGATTTCCGTCTTTTAATTTCACAAATTAGCCTATTATACACCTATATAAGTTTGATGAAAATATCCTGGAAACGATTGAAAACCAACAAAGAGATATTGCACATGGCAGGGCGTAAACAAATTGTACTAGTAGGATTAGTTAAGGAGAGAAAAATCAAATACTTTGGTCATGTTAAAAGGCACCAAAGCCTCTTAAAGGATGTATTGGAAGGAAGAGTGGAAGGAAGTAGACCTAGAGGGAGACCCAGAATCAACTGGGAAGAGAATGTTAAGAACTGGAATGTACTAAAACTGCAAGAGTGCACCAGAATGGCAGAAGATAGAATGAAATGGAGAGATGTTGCAATCAACCTCCGAACCGGTAGAAAATACTCAGATAGATAAGTTTACATCACATCCACTTAGTGTAGAACTTCTCTTTTGCATGAAATTACAAAAATAAAGGTCGATATGGGAAATGCGAATACCGCTTATCTCATTGAATATCAATCATTATGAATTAACCTGTGCCAAAGAAAGTACGACTTAGAATTCTGAAAATTGCACACCGACCATGCCGACCGGCAAACAACCTGGCAAACTGACAGCCAATTTGGCAGCGTACTGGGGGATACTGGGGGGGGGGGGGGGGGGGGGGGGGGGGGGGGGGTAAGAGGACACTTTTTTTCCTTTTTTTTTAGTCCCCAAAAAATCGCAACGACTCAGTCAGCCGCTGAATAAGCGGGGGGGGGGGGGGAGTAAAAGGACACTTTTTTTTCTTTTATTTTAGTCCCCCCAAAAAAATAAGCGGGAGGTGGGGTCAGAGGAAACTTTTTTTTTTTATTTTGCTCACGAAATTTTTAAATTTGACATTTTGCTCCGTTGGGGGGGGGGGGGGGGTTAAGGTCACCTTTTTAGGTCAGCCATTGGCTTTTTTTTTAGGCCACGCCCCTGTTTTTCAGTATATTTTGGGCGAATTTAGGGCTGATTTTAACATATTTTTTTGGCCGGGGGGGGGGGGGCACGTGCCCCCTGTGCCCCCCTGGATCCACCACTGAAATGTGTCGCCCAAAGTTAGGGAGGGAGGGATTCCCTATGTAAACTTGTTGCCAATTCTTGGTAAAGTTGTTGCCTGTGATTGGTAAAAATGTTGCCAATATGGTAAATGTGTTGCTTTTTTAAAAACCAATTTTGTAAATGTGTTGCCCAAAGTTAATTAGGGAGGGAGGGATTTCTCATGACATGTAAACTTGTTGCCATTTCTTGGTAAAGTTGTTGCCTGTGATTGATAAAAATGTTGCCAAAATGGTAAATGTGTTGCATTTTTAAAAACCAATTTGGTAAATGTGTTGCCCAAAGTTAGGGAGGGAGAGAGGGATTTCTCATGACATGTAAACTTGTTGCCATTTCTTGGTAAAGTTGTTGCCTGTGATTGGTAAAGTTGTTGCCTGTGATTGGTAAAGTTGTTGCCAAAATGGTAAATGTGTTGCTTTTTAAAAACCAATTTGGTAAATGTGTTGCCCAAAGCAAGGGAG